GGCAGGTTAATTATTCACTATTCTTTAAATCTTATTTTTTTATGAACATCAGGCCTTCATCTTAGCGAAGGGTCCCTGTAGGCCAAAAACGTTTGATTATATTACCCAATTCATCTACTTAAAAAAAATTATTTTATTTATATCAACTGCCAATTTTGCATCAATAAAGTCAAGGTGGAAATGTTGCTTCAAATGCTTGTTTCCATTTTCTGTGTGTTAAAATCTGTTTTTATTTTTTACTTGATTTTTCAGACATTTAGTAGGAAATCACTAGAATTTGCCTTAAAATTAATTGCAGTGGGCTTTGCTTTTTTAATGGTAAATGGAGTGGTTCTTATAGAGTGCCTTGCTTTCCACAAAGTGGATCAAACCACTAACCTTAGGATTTGTAGACTACCTGCACTACCTTATGAGCTACGGCCATTGCATTAAAGCTTTTATTAAAGCACAAGATAAAATAAAAAACATAAATAAATTATAAACATCTACAACAATCCAGCCTTCTGCAAACAAATCCTCAAATCCAAACCAGCCTTTTACAAGAGTACTGTATATACAGTATACATACTCATATATAGATATGCATGTATTTGTACACACATACACATGCATTTATTCATTCCTTTTCTTTATCTTCTTGTTTCTATAGTGACATAGGTATAGGTAACTTCTATAAATTACCGCACAGTTACTACTCTGACTCTGTATGTATTGGACATAATCTGGAGCATCTGGACCCACTATTTTTATTATTATTATCATTATTATGTAAATCCCTATAAATCCGAATTATTATTATTTTATCTGTCAATGAGACTGCAGCATGTCACTCTTTCTAAAAATGCTCACTATTGCAGGAGATGGAGAGCCTGAAGTGTGAACAAACAACACTTCAGCAGCAGCACAATGCTCTGACTCAGGTAGCCTCTATATAACTCCTTACAATCTGTCTCCATACTGAGCACCAGCTACTGAATGTGTTATTTTTTTCATGCGCAGATGCATATATCAAGCCATCAGAAAAGAGCTCAGAAGAAAGTAGGTCAGTGAATAAAATAATCTGCATTCTTTACTCAAAATAAAACTATTTTCAACACGCACTCTTAATTCAATATGTGCTGCAATCTCTCTTCTCAAGCAGGAACACACATCCTCACTTACAGTCCAAATTACATTGAGGTTGATAACTTTCAGTCATCTGTGGAAGATGCAAGAAGACGAGGTGACCCCTGTTTCCACTACACGGTCCTAGATCAGACCTGGCGCGCCACCAACACCACCAGCAAGCTGAAGATGTGTGATCGGCAAGTAGACTGGAAAGGTAACCGACTGCACTTTCTTTATATGTAGCATGCACCTATTTCACTAAAAGCAGCAATGGCATTTCAAAAAACAGAATAAAATTTTCATCTTCTATTGGAGGGTGGTACCGTCTTTTCTACAAGGGTAAAAGTCTGCAGATGCCTGAGAGGTGCGTCCCTGTGAACAACTGTGGCACCAACTCCCCGCTGTGGCTGTCCGGGCCTCATCCAAGGATCAGGGATGGTATTGTGACCCGCAATGTCTGCGGCACTTGGAACAAAAGATGCTGTGCTTTCCATTCCACCCCCATCAAAGTCAAGAAGTGCCCGGGCAACTATTACATCTATCAGTTCACTAAGCCAACATCCTGTTATTTGGCTTACTGTGCAGGTATAAATGAAAAAATGCATTAATATTGTGCACATTTGTGGGAGCATTTGGCTTTTGGATGCTGAAAAATTAAGAAATTAAACATCCACTTTCACCCACAATCCATATTTATCCTGATTGCTGCAAATGTATACCTTTTGGAACAGTCTAATTCCTGCTAAGAGCAGTGCTTTTTAGAGGCCTTTTCGAATGTTGCTGAATGTGTGTTCTCAGACGTCAACACGCTTGTGTGCGGGCGATGCAGGAGAAACCAGTCCTGTGTGAGCAGAGATAAGATTAACTGGAGATGCAAGACAAACAGAAGTAAGTAAAGTTTTTGTCAGTTTGAATGTGTCATACTAACGTTTACGCTGAAGGGATGGAAGGCCTTGGATGTCTGGGGCTTTTATTCTTCTCTGTTTGGTGACAGCGTTTCTTTGTCAATCGTAATGCAACTTATTGAATACTAACATTGATTAATATGGGCAATCAGGCACAAATAGTTGCATGTATTATTGTACAGCACTAATTTGTTACTAGTTTGTATCTATATAAATACAAAAATTCAACATACAAAAGGTTCATTAAACAACTGTGTTCAAACATTAGTATTACTTTAAGAAATATTAAGAGACAGGTGAAGTCTTCCTTTTTTGCTCCTCAAACTTTAATTGTAAGCAAAGCTGGAGAATCTGCTACATAGTTTGTGTAAGAATGATTAAGATATTATCCTGTGCTTTCCATAATACACCTACAAAAGCCTCTCTTTATTAAGAAATTGCTGCAAGGTATATATCTATTTGTCTTTGTAATAATACTAATAAGATTACCTGCTCTTCAGTGTCTTCCCAAAAGATCCACTTCTTTGCGTCTTACCCAGCCCAAATCAATGGCAAACTGAACAGGATCAAGTACAGCAAGGTGCTGGTGAATGTGGGCCGAGCCTTCGACAGGAGGACTGGTGTGTTCAGGGCTCCCGTCAAAGGAATCTACCAGTTCTTCTTCTCCACTCAGACAACCATTAAGGGCCTTAAAACCGATCTGTGGCTAGTAATAAATAATTACTGGGTGGCCGTTTCTCGTGCACATGTTCCCCGTTCCTACAGTGTTGGAAGCACATCTACATACATGACTTTCCTCCGCAGAGGGGCTTCAGTCTATGTCACCCACAACTGTGGTAACTCCTGGGCCACTGCTGCATCCATGACTATTACATTTGGAGGCTCACTGCTTTTACAAAGTAAATAATATACACCTCTGATGTTTAAAATGGTGCTCATTGATGTCGCATGTCACTTTTATTTGTTTTTGTATTTTAGCAAAGAGGAGATAAGGAAAAAGTTTGTTCTTTCTGTCAACAGATTCACGGTTGTTGTAATTTATTTCATTATTTTTGCTAATGCTAACTCGTGCTAAATCAACCAGTTCCACTGTATTAACTACTCTGGAGTGCCAGCTAAATGTCTGCTTTGATGCTTAAATGAAAATATTAATATTAAAAAGACTTAAGAGTGATGTTATTATCTAAATCCATCATTACTGCAATTTATACATTCATTTAAAATTCACTTTCTATTCAGTTTTATTTATAAAGCCTCAAAATTCAGCAAGGCACTTTATTTGGTAAGAAATCCCAACAAGCACTATGTGACAGCAGGAAGAAAAAGCTTTTCTCAACAGGAAGAAGCCTCCAATAGAACCAGTCTAAGAGAGGGCGAGCCATCTGCTGTGAACGGCTGGGGATGGAAGGAAAGAGAAAAAGGGGAGCATAGGTAGACAGAACAAAACACAGAGGATGGGAGACAGATGTGTAGCAGTAATAGCAGGAGCAGTAGCCATAATACAAAGTGGTGAGGAGAGTAGAAATGTGCTGTCTGGTACAGGACGTCCTCCAGCAGCCTGTGTCTACAACAGCATAAAAAGTGATGCTTGAGTCACCTGATCCCACTCTAACTATAAGCTTTATCAAAAAGAAAAGTTATATGTCTAATCTTAAAAGTGGAGAGGATGTCTGTCTCCCAAATCCACAGGCAAAGAGCTGATAGCTGAAGGCTCTGCCTCCCACTCTACTTTCAGAAATTATGAGAACCACAAGTAAGTGAGCAAAGTGCTCCGTTAGGGTAATATTATATTATGTACTCTTTAAGATATAATGGTGCCTGATTATTCAAGGTTGTGTATATGAGGAGAAAGATTTAACAGGGAGCCAGTGAAGACAAGCCAGCATAGAGGAAATATAGTCTCTCTTTGCAGTTCCTGCTGCTATCCCCACTGCAGCATTTTGGATTAATTGGAGGCTTTTCACGGAACTTTAGGAACAACCTGATATTAAAAAATAGTAATAGTTCAGGCTAGAAGTAATAAATGCGTGAACTAGTTTTTCAGCATCACTGAGGCAGGATAATTGTAATTTTAATAATATTACTCAGATGAAAGAAAGCAATTCTACATTTTTTTTTTAATGTTTTTGGCGTATACTGATCAAAAATGACTCCAAGATTACTACACATGGAGCTGTTGGAGGCCAAGGATTTTAGGGCCAAATATAGAAGTAGGAAATAAAACGTCATCCAGTCATTTATGTCCTAAATTAATTGATTTATGATGTATTGTAATGACAGAACAAATGTCTTTTTTTAATCATTTATTTATTCAGGTTAAAAATTTAATCTCAATGAAATCACATACTGGATGATATTTTACAATATAAGCATGTAAGTTAATACGATTAGAGCAACACTGCTGTTTGTCAGGGTGGAGTTTTCAGTCATAAGCGTCATTAAAAGCCATTTACGTCTCTTTTACACAAGGTGGCGCACTAATATCAGAGTAAGCCTAGTGAGAAGCCGGCGGCACTTAAAGTGTTCAGCTTCTTTTACAGGAGGTTTCATTCAGGAGGCAACGTTAAGATACAGCATAGGAGGGAAAACCTAAAAAATAATGTTTTATTTATCACAGGTTATTTGATAATTAATCCAGTGAATGACTCGTTGTCTACATAACTGTACGTCTACTTTTCATTCATATCATCTTGAGAAAATCTTACTGAGACCCAGTTTTCCCTTTTATGGTAAAAGAGGGCATCATTAAAGTGAGGCCAAAAACATTATGGTTTTCCTCCGAGTGTTTAACAGCTTAGAGGTGGCGTCGTCATTGCTGAAATATGTATCAGAAACTGGTGGAGCGGTGGTCTACAGAAATATTTGCAATGCTTTTCAACTTACACATCGCTGCCTGACCAACACCTCTCCACAGGGCGGGGGCGGGGCTTAGACGAGGATGCTTCAATCCTATTGGTGTACGGTCGTTCAGGAGGGACAGGAGAGAAACTCCAGGAAAAAGGACGGACGGACGGGGGGAGCTGGCGCACGGTGTAACGGGACGGTACCTTTCGGCGTAAAGACGAAACTTTGTATGGACATGAGGATATTTTGGAATAATTCCTGCTTGTTAAAAGAAAAGCGGAGCTCCTGAAGGGAAACGGCGTGTTAAAACGATCAGAATTAGCAGCTGCTGGTTTTTAAAAGGGAATTTCCGACCTCAATTAAACATGACTAAAATTAGAGTTTGACCAAAAAAAAAAAGAAAAGAAAAAATGAGCACCGACTACAGAGCTGCACATTAAAGTAGAGGAGGTGGTCAGGGAAGCCCGCCAATGTCCACCCTTTGTCGGCACTTCAGAGCAACTTGTTGACACATTTTATTTTCCAGGAGTTTCAGTAAGAAGAAAAAAAATAACAGTATGGCAGAACACGAGAGCCTGGAGTTTGGAAAAGCAGACTTTGTGCTTTTGGACAACGTGTCTATGGAAGAATTCATGGCTAACCTAAAACTCAGGTAAGCCAGCCCTGCACGGCTGCGGTCGTTCACCTTTGTAAATCCGCAGGAGTGTCTAATAAGCACTCACGCTCGGGAGAGTGGAGATTTAGAGCGAACACGGTACCTGCTAACAGCATTTTTAGCCAAAATGTTTGCTGTTTGTCATTCAACAGGTGCTACAAAGCTCATTCTTGCTGAATGAAGAGAACTTGTCAAGCTGCTATAAGCTCTGCCATCACCTGTTTTCGATACGTCACTTTCACATGTGAATGATGGGATGGGAAGCGTGTTTATAGTGTTTGGTTGCTGTCGCGCTTCTCACACCTTTTCCTGCTTTCTGACCAAACCGGTAATTCGCTTTGAAATATTTTGAGTGAAACTCCACCCAGCCTCCACACACAGACATGCACACAACTCCTGTACGGTTTGAACGGATTCTCCTCCAGACCGGTTTCTATCAGCTGTGTTGTCAGTGGCTCTGTGTCAAGCATGATGTCAGGCACGCCTTGCAGCGTGGGGGTAACATTACGTTTCAGATGGGCTGTGGCTTGGAGTTCAGTTTCTTCATCTCCTTTCCTCACCTCTGCCATCTGTGATGAAAGTGGAAGCTGATCCCCAATGTCAGTTTGGAGTGAGGTCTTGGTGTGTTGGTGTGTTTTTAATGGTGTGGTACTGGGGGAACTTAGAACAAAGCAGGGGGCACACAGAAAATCAGAATATTTGATCAGAAAAATACTTCACAGGAACGGCTGGCTACAATTTTGAGGTACATGAATTGATGAATTAGATGGCTAATACATGAACAGTGGTGCTGCACAAGAGCCTCAAAATTATTTTGTATTTAATAACTGTTTTATAAATTAATAAAATAAAAAGTTAGACCTTTTACTTAACTTTGTTAAATAGGATTATAACTTTTTAGGATAATATACGCAAATAACCTGAAGTGAAAGTTTGGCAAAATCATGCACATAATATAATTTAAAAAAATGATTGATTACTGTGTTTATCGGTTAAATATTGGAACTTGAGATGATTGGTTTAATTGGTTTTATACTGCTGGGTAGCTTTAGCTGTAATGGTGCAGCACAGTTTATTAAATTTGCATCAGAACCAAAAGGTTTAAAATACATGGTGTGGAGTGCTAATAATATTTGCATTCAAATATAGAGGAGTGGACATAGACAGTAGCAAAACACAGAGATACTTAAAGTGCAAGTATATTAAAATTGTGCTTCAGTTATGTATTTCAATAAATGTCAATTTACAGCCGGAACAATTAATAACAGTATTGGCAGTAAGCTGGCATGTGAAGAAACATGGTCCATAAATGGTCAAAAGCAAATAAGAGGATATGTGCTGAAAAAAAAATGTCAGTGTCAGAACTGTGTGTTGGCTTAAGTTGCACAATTCAAACTAGCAATGGAAGTTGACTCAAACAATATGCTTGGGTTATCCTGTCTATCTTTGGCCAGGAGACTCTTGCAACAGAGATTTGTATTCCCAGGAGCTTCACTTCCTAATTAAATAAAGATTTAAAGAATATTGAAAAATGGATGTAGGGATGTAATCAAAAATAAATAAATACATAGGACAAAAACCTGGCAAGATGTTTAGTCACTAGTTTCACTTTCCCTACTTAGCACATGTGCTTTATTAGTATCACTATGGATGAAAGTTTTAGACCATACCACTTATTCTTTGACTTTAGGTGTTTTCTGTCCGTTTGGCACAGGTGTATAAGATGTAGCTCCTCCCTTTCTCCCCTTACAAATATTTGTGAAAGAGTGAGCTGATTCTAAAGAGCTCGCCTGTTTTTGTTAGGGTTAGAGTGCTGCAATGAGTCATTTTTTGAACTTTAAGCAATATGACTTCAAAGTGGAAGTGTTTGGGACCCACAGCAACTCAGCCACATACAGTTAGACCCTGTAAAGTTGCTGTACTTAGTCACATGGCTTCAAAGGGTTGAACCTCTTCTGTCATGAATATCAGCACAAACACAGCATGCCTGGAGTTTCAGGGCATGGGTTTCCATGGTTGAGGAGCAGCATGCACGCCTTACATCACCAAACACAATGCCAAGTGCAGGATGGATTGCTGTAAAGCACCACTGGACTTTGGAGTAGTAAAAATGTGTTCTGTGGAGGGAAAAATCATGTTTATCTGTCTGCAAATCTGATGGATGAGACTTGCTTTGAAGAATACCAGGAGAACATTAACTCTCCAACTGTGCCACACTTAAGGTTTGGTGGAGGAGGGACGATGCTGCGGACTTGTTTTTCTGGAGTTTTGGCCAATTGTATGCAGTTTGAGGAAGACAAATTTCCAGTGCATCGTGACCATACCCTAGTGCACAAGCAAGGTCCATAAGGGCATGGTTGGATGAGTCTGGTGTGCAAGAACCTGAGTGGCTCATGCATAGCCCCGACCTCAACGCCATCCAACATCTTTGGAATGAACTAGAACACAGTTTGAAGTATCTGCTGTTATAGCTGCAAAGCTTGGACCAACTCCATATTGATACTTATAGATTCAGACGTCATAATGAGATGTATTAAAACATTTATTCTATAAATGGACCAACACTTTTGTCCATATAGTGTGAGTCACATCAAGATAAGACTTTATTGATGTTCAGGGGAAAAACACCTAATGAGAGAACAACAAAGGATCTGAAGACAGGAAAAATGCTTTAAAAGGAGTTACAAAATAATACAAAGAAGTAACATTTCACTTTGTGCCGATGTTACAAACGTAATCAAATAAAGTGTCTTGGTAGTTATTGGGTCACAATATTACATACTGACAACTTCTGTGCTCCTTGAGATTGATTCTCCAAGTGCAGCATGAATCACAATCCAAAAAGTATTTCTTATTTGATGATGATAATGAGACCGGCGACTATCATTTAAGCCTAAAATATCCGAAGTTGGTTTGTGGTTTTGTAACCTGGTGACAATGAAGGCCATAGACTATGTTCGACATCATCCTCATCAAACTATTTAGTGAGCCCCTGAGTCTTGATGTTGCCTTTGTCATCTTGAAGAGACCGCTTACACTAGGGGTAAACTGTTTCATCAAGAATTAAAGTGATCACTTAGAGCAGCTTTGTTTTGACTTACAGCGTCCTTCCTTCCTTCTTAGGGAACGTATAACAGAGGCACTGCACTCATTGTTTAACCTGTCATCTGTAGTGTAGCGAGTTTTGCAAAAGCGTAAAGTGTTTTGCTGCTGTGAATGTGAAGGTCTTCATTAAACAACATACAAGTTCAGTTATTAGTAGACATACTGCCAGCAGTGACTTGTAGAGTAAATATTTGAAGGACTTTAAGGTTGCACTTTCCAAGGTCTTTTTCTACTGGCAGTCAGTTGGCTGTGTGGTTTTTCCTTATATGACCAAGCAGAGCAAGATATTCAGGAATGTGGACCACACCAAAATGTTTGTGATTCCTTTTCCGCCCGTGGAGGGTGGGGCTGGTGATAATGGCGAGAACTGTTAGATGCACGTACCTGCTTAAAAGAAGTGGATTGCAGCCAGAATCACTTGGTGCTAAGTATTAGTGGTACCTTAAAGTCTTTCTTCTCCCTCTCAGTACCTTCTGCCAGCTTTTCCTCATGTTTTACTCCGCATAAACATTTGTTACAATGTGCCAATATTCAAGCTTAAATCCATGCTCAGAAAACTGGGGCTTTTAGAGTTACTTGAACACCATCATTAGAAGGAATATATTTAGGGAATATATTAAAATCATTTCCATATATTTCAGAGCTTTAGTTGTTAAATGCATTTGGACTGCTCTTGTTTTTTTAGTGTACAGTTTGCTGTTTACGATAAATCAAAGATGTCTGAGAGGTGAGAGTGCCAGATGCACAAGTGTACATGTTTATAGAGGACATTGCCGTTCTCGTTAACAAAGCTTTTACTAACATACTTTTAAAATTAGATCAGCTTCTGTGGTGTGAACAGTAGCCTTGGCAGACAGGCAAGAAACCTGCAAGGATCCAGACAGCACCGGGCCTCTTTTTCCCGACTCTGTCCTATTTTCTGTCTGTTTGTTTTCCCTCCAGCTAGGCAGCTCGGTCCAGAGGTGGCGTGTGCAGATTGTTATTTGTAGAGGAGGGTGTGACCAGCAAGGAGTGCTTCCTTTTTGCTCCTTTTCCCCTAGTCTGAGGGTGCATGCATGCATTCATGGGCACATGTGTGAGTGTGTTTAGGCTGTCTCCAGTTCTCTCATCCAAAGTGAGCAGTGCTGCAGCCCTTTTGCACATCTCTCATGGGTGTGTTTTACACCGTGTGTGGGAGCTGAGCGTCATAATATAGTGTAACACACTGAAATTTAGCTTCAGAGCCACTAAATTGAATGCATTTATTTGAAGTTATTTACAGGTGCTGGAAGAGCTAACATAACATTTTCCAGGTGGTTCCTCAGGCGCTCTTACTGAGAAGCTCACATTGTTCACTCTTCCAAAAGTTGTGAAAATCCCCAAATATTTTTATTTAAAGTGGGTCAAAAGCCAAGCTTTGGTGTGGAGCCAGTCCTCATTTAGTGACTCCCCAGTTGGCCAAGTTTGACTAACCGACTCAATTACTCCGCTCTATATGGGATTTCTGCTAGTGTTGTTAAATGCCTGCCATGTTGGGAAGGTAATAAAGTTCCCCGGTGGCTGCATGCATGTAAGGCATGATTTGGAAAAGATTGCTTGTGTTCCCTCACTGTGGCCAGAAATGGTTGTTCAAGTTGACATTTACTTTGTTTGACTTGAGGTTGAACTGTGTGGCCTGTTCCAGAGAGCCTCCCAGTCTCAAAATAGAGCCCAGCAGTTGCCCAAAGTTTTTTTGTAGAGATGGTAGGAGAATAATGCCAGATAGCTGTATGGTCTTGAGAACTTTGCACATCGACGTTAAGCAGATATGCTCAAAACTGTTCAGCAGAACCTATATCTGATTATTTTTTATAACTGTGAGTTATCTCTCCTAATTTAAACTCATGTTTACTGATGACAGTAAATGTGATTTT